TTTTAGGAGGATTGTTTTGAGGGTGGACTTGCAGGGAGGTAGCTGGCCTTGGTGGCTATCTAACCCATGGGTCAGAGGCTCCGTGTGTTAGTGCATAGGTGGGGTCTGGGAATATGAACTACTGGTGACAGCCTGCAGTAAGTGTTCAGGACTCAGAAGTTACAAGCTGCGGTCAGTCTAAGTATCTAGGGCTATTTAAGGGCAGAGTCTGCAGATCTGCCAGGCTGGCAAGCAGAGATCCTGACAAGTGCCTTGGTGACCAGCCTAGTTTTGGGGCAGGGCTCAGGTGTCCTGCTGTCTAAAGGGAGGTGCCCGTCCTCAGCATCCACCTCACGCATGGTTTGCTTCTAGTAGCAGATGCACGTGGAGAAAGATATTCACTACTCCCTTTAGCCGAGTCCACTGGAGTCTACAACAGTAGAATAGCCGTGGGGTTAAGCTGGGTTCAGGGGAGTTTTCCCTTCAGCAGGCTTTGTTATAATAAGCAAAGGGGATGGTCTTTATGTTTTCAGCTATTCAGATTATGCCTGGGTGCCGAGCCATCTTGGGCCAGACATAGGATGAGAGATACAGTCGAGGGGCTTGTGGAGAGTGCAGTGTGGAGGCACATGTATCCTGAATTGGGGACCTACTGGACACATGATCAGACAGGACCAACCCTAACTGTGGAGCTTATAGGCCCCATTTTAAGGAAGTATCTTTGGAGCTGCTCAGGGAGGCCATGTGTATCTTGTCAAGGAGCCATCCTAACAGACAGAGGCCAGATATGTAGTCTCAGTGTATCCTAAGCAGCCGTTGCCTCTGTGGACTTGCTCCTGGCTTTTTAGCATCGCTGGGCAATGGCTGGAGATATGCAGTTTCCCTGGTCCTCTGGGGGCCTCTACCCGGGAAGGCTTTGTGGGGCAAGAACAGGTCGACCAAACCTGAACTCCCTGCCTGGACCTCTCTGAGGCAGCCCAGAGGCCAAGCACACTGATGTGGTCATAGCTCTGCATACTTGTCTCATCTCCTCCATTTTTTTCCAGACAAATGATGCAGCTGGCAACACCTGGAACTGGCTGTACTTCATCCCTCTCATCATCATTGGCTCCTTCTTTATGCTCAACCTAGTGCTGGGTGTGCTCTCAGGGTAAGGACCATGGGCTGTGGTGTGCCCTCTGTAGTCTCAGGCCCATGGGCACGTAGCATCCTTCTCTTCTGCACATGGGCTCCTGTTTGGAGCTCCCACCCTTATATGGGCCAAGGAAGTTACATCACAAGATGGTGAAGAGGGCCAGGCCTGACCTGACTCTGCTGCTTTACCTGAGCAGGAGAAGCCCTGGATGGCTCCCTTTTTCTCACCCTGAAGACTTCTGACCAGGCCTGTGGCTCCCAAGGTAGATGGGAATAGAGCCTGGTAGGCCCGAAAAGCAGCTGCTAGGATAGAGTCGATGTAGAGGACAGCATGCTCTGGAGCTGGAGTGGTCTCTGGCCTCTATGTGTCCCATAATGGGTGCGACTGTCACTAGTGTATCTTTCCAGTTACCTTTGCAAAGGCTCCTGAGCTTCCAGTGTAGGTGACTCTTAGTCACTGTTGTACTGGCATGAAGAAGCACCATGGCCAAGACGACTGTTATAAGAGAAGGCATTTAACTGGGGGCTGGCTTACAGTTTCAGAGGTTTAGTCCATTATCATCATGGTGAAGAGAGAGAGAGAGAGAGAGAGAGAGAGAGAGAGAGAGAGAGAGAGAGAGAGAGAGAGAGAGAGAGAGAGACACTCTCTACAGGGGCTTTTGAAACCTGAAAATCTACCCCCATTGATACACTTCCTCTAACAAAGCCACACCTCCTTATCTCTCTCAAATAGTGCCACTCCCTAATGACTAAGCATTCAAATATATGAGCCTGTCCATGGGCTTTTGAAACCTGAAAATCCACCCCCATTGATACACTTCCTCTAACAAAGCCACACCTCCTTATCTCTGTCAAATAGTGCCACTCCCTAATGACTAAGCATTCAAATATATGAGCCTGTAGGGGCCATTCTTATTCAGATCACCACAGTGACAGAGTAGAATTAATCTGATGAGGAGGTTTAAGGCTGAGAAGGCACCTGAGGATGGGACATCTCAACTGAGATCCAACCAGAAAGAGCCAGGTAGAGGATGGATGAGAGCCAGCTAGCAGAGCCAGCAGGCTGGTAGCTTAGCAGTAGTGAGGGGTATGGCACAGGTATGCTCTGGACTCCCAGAGCTGGAGTCAGAGCATGTGGTGGGTGAGGTGAGTGTTTGGGAGCTGGTAGGAGCCTGCCTCCAGGCACAAAGCTTCTAGAAGCAACACTGTCCTGCATACCTCTGTTCCCAGAGCTGCTTGCTTTTCTCTCCTACATGGTATAGAGAATTTGCCAAGGAGCGGGAACGAGTAGAGAACCGCCGCGCCTTCCTGAAGCTCCGTAGGCAGCAGCAGATTGAGCGAGAACTGAACGGGTACTTGGAGTGGATCTTCAAGGCGGGTGAGTCTGTGAAAGTGGGCAGCAGTATTTCTGCTTTGTACACTATCCACCTTGCTGCCACCTAGGATTCCTGGGCTCTGGGGTAGAGCTTAGTGAAAAAGGCTGACTCTTAGTACATGGTCATATGATAGTCACAAACTCTGAATGGAAGATCAGTCCACACTGGACCTAAATACTCTGCTATTGCCCTTGCTCTGGGCACTGTAAGCCTAAACTCCATCCTACCTCCTCCATCCCCAGGTAAAGTAGCTCCCCTCTGCACGGCTGTTTCCCTCCATTTGGGAAACTCCCTTCATAGGGCTATCCCTATCTATGTTGACTGCCCTTCTCCGTGTGGGTAGTTTCTCCTCTTTAGGGCTTTTCCCTCCTTGTGCTCTACCCCCTTTGTGTGAACTGCTACCTCTTTGGGATGCTCCCTTCCATGTGGGTTTCTCTCCTTCCTGAGATCTTACAGATGCTTCCTCCGTGAATTCACAGTTCCAGATACTGTCTAGGAGCACCGTTTGTAGGTTGGGTATGGGATGGACTTAAGGTCCCTGGGCCCCTGCTTTGGCATGGTTTGAGTATTGGTAGAAAGCTTGCAGTCACAGCCTGCTGTGTGCATGTGTATAGAGGAGCAGGCAGGCGCTTCCAGACTACTTTTCCAGGTTTTCCTGGGATGAGTCCTTTTTGGGGGATGGGTAGAAAGGCCCTGACCTGAGCTTTGGCCCTCACAGAGGAAGTCATGTTGGCTGAGGAGGACAAGAACGCAGAAGAGAAGTCCCCTTTGGATGGTAAGTGGTCTCAATAACACTCCCCACACAGTAGGAGCTCAGATACCTGTTTCCCTGGGACACTGTGCCATAGGAGGTGCCTTTACATCTGTCATGGTGACACATGAGCAATAGAATCGGAGCAGCTTGTGTCACATGCGTCCATTATCTTTGTTGGAAGCTATGCTGAACAGCGTTGCTTCTAGAAGCTTCATACCTGCAAGATTTGAGATGTCTCTGGAGTCACGGTTATCCCCAAGGCCGTAGAAGACTTGGGACACCATCCAGAGACCTTAGTAGAGTTGGGGGCCTCCACTGCCGTGAGCACCTGTGGGTGCCTGCACAGCTGTAGCCACAGGCAGGCTTAGGTTGGGACCAGGCAGCATGGTGTGCAGGTCACTCCACTCTAAGCAGATCTGTCCCAGCACCTCTGCATCCCTGGCCTGGCCCCAGATGATTTGTCTAAGTCTTCTTGGTGGCCATGCCTCCCTAATGTCCTTGCTTTGGAGGGAAGAGGAAGAATTCTATGTCCTTTCCATGTGAGGAGTGAGGAGGCCCCAAGGGTCAGGGTCAGGGAATTGCTTTGCATCAGCATCAGGACAGGAGCTGAGATAAAGTGGACCATTCTCAGGCACGATAGTGCCACACAGCTGGAAGATGCCTAGCGATGGGTTATGTGATGCTGAAACTCACACTGGTCTCCACTACCCATTGTTTAAAGCAGTGTTGAAGAGAGCTGCCACCAAGAAGAGCCGAAATGACCTGATCCATGCGGAGGAGGGGGAGGACCGGTTTGTAGATCTCTGTGCTGTTGGTGAGTGAGTCTCCAGAGATCTTTCTGAGGCCGTGAAGCCCTGACTGAATGTGTATGTAGCACAGACATGGCCTCTTTCTCTCATGCTCTGGGGTTCTTCCCTTTATGGCACCGGATCACTCCCTGCCATACCTTTCTCTGGGTGCTACTTCTTTTGGCTGCCCCACACCCTGTGGTCAAAGAACACAGGGAAGGCACAGAGGGTTTCTGCTTGTCTTCTCTTGATCCTCCCTTTCCTTGGCCTGGGCCTGCAACACCTGGACTCTGTGCCCTCCTTCTTACATAGTAATGTGAGACTGGTTTATTTTTCCTACAGAGCTAGTAATTTTAGTTCCCTTTGTGCCCTAAATACCTGGCATTTCTCTTCTGGAAGCCTTAATATGCTTCATTCTGCCAGAGTGATGCAGCTCCAGGTCTCCTGCAGCTATGTGGGAGAAGCACAGACCCCAGCATTGCCGAGGCCACACAGCAAACCCACCTGCCTAGTTCACAGTGGCCTAGTGTCCAGGGTCACAATTGGAGTCTGGTTCCTGCTTGGCTCTGTTTTTTTTTTTTTCTTTTCTTATACTGAGAAATGTTGCCCTAAATTCCTGTAACCATTTGTCTCTTCTTACCAGTGCTTTTGTCTTTATAGATAGGCTACTGAGGGTAGAGATGTCTGCACTTTTGAGAATTCCAGTGTTGTCATCTTTCATTAACAATTCAAAATGGTATTTGCCCTTTACCTTGGTGCTTGTTCCTTTAAAAGTTTTCCAGGTTTTTTGTTTGTTTTGTTTTGTTTGAGACGGGGTCTCTCTATGTAACCCTGGCTATGCTGGAACTCACTGTGTAGACCAGACTGGCCTTGAACTCACAGAGATCCACCTGCCTCTGCCTCCCGAGTGCTGGGATTAAAGGTGTGTGCCACATTGTGCATGGCCATTTTTTTCCCCGAGTCTGGAGGCTAGTTGGGTGAGCACCAAGTAGTATTTGACTGGGACTGTGCTTGTTTTATTGACTGCTGATAGTTTTGACCCTCTTGTTATCTGAAATGAGTATCCTCTCATTCGCTCTTCAGTTGAGTTGTTTGTGTTCATTTTACAGTAATGACAGGACAATGTGTATTACAGATCTAAGTCGAATTTTAAAAATTACTGCTATATTTAGATTATTTTCTTTGATTATCATTTTACCTACACTCTGTAAAATGCATTAGAATTTTTTTTTTTTTTACTGTGGTATATATGCATTTAAAGACTATTAGAATTGTATGGTGCCTGCTTGGGTGAACACACTCCATTGCGTGGCCCCACACCCTTGAATATGTATGCAGTACAAAGTGGACTTGGTGGATGATGGATTATTAAAAAACAGTAAACGAGGACATGGAGTTTGGAGAAGATGGGGAGTGGGGGGTCTGGGAGGAGTTGGGCCGGGAGCAGGAGAAGAACACAATCAAGATACATTGTAAGAAATCCTCAAAGGAATTCTTAGAAATATTATACTAAAGAGAGCACTATAATTGTTTATAGATGAGATTAACTGAAGACCTGTGTGGTCCTAGAAAAATAGAGGGGGTTAGGGATGGACTTGGGCCAGCTTTGTAATTTGTACTTTATTAAGAAATCTGTGTTTTTTTTTTCTATAGAGTTGCATGTCACATTGTCTTAATTATTTTAATCCCTCCTTTGTTTAGTCCTTTCTGTGTTTATTCACACAATAAATATTTAGTAAATACCCATAATACTCCAGGAGTTGTTTGAGGCATTTGGGCTATTGTGTTGGACAGACGATCAGGGCCCTTTGTCTTTGGCGTGTCTATTTCAGCTAAGCATCAGATGAGGCGATGGCCATCAAATGTGTAGCACATCAGATGGAGCTATGTCAGAAGGAAGAAAAATTAGGGAAGGGCAGGATCTGAAGGGTCTAGATGGAGCGTCACAGTTTATGGCCTTAGGGCAAAGATACCCTTGAGTAGAGAGCTGGAAAAGAATGGGAAAGAACCTTTTAGAAACAAGTATCCAGACCCCAAGACAGGAATGGGGCTCGCATTTATGAGAAATGTCAAAGACTGAAGGTAGGCTAGGTCCTAGCAGGGTGGCCATGATTGGTCTAAAGGTCTGTTGTCTGGCTTTCACTGAAGCAGGAGCTATGTCTCCTTGGGATGTTGAAGATAAAATGAAACAGGGAAAGGCAGTTTGTGAAGGCCAGTGTATTTGGAAGTAGTAGAGAAGGATATGGTGGATGCTTGGACTTGAGGTCTATTTGAAAACATTCCAGGCAGGTGTGTCTTGAGAGTAGGAGAACTATCAAGGAAGCTCTGGGTTTTGCCTGAGGAACAGGGCCTTAGAGGAGCTCTGGTTAGGAGATGGGGCTGTGGGCACAAAGGTTTGTTGAAGGCCCAGGGTATTGGAGATGTCTGTTGGAGGCCAGACACAGGCCCACACAGTAGTGTGCAAGCTGTTCATGACTCTGAGGCTGACACAGACCCTGTCAGTATGGCTCTGGTGCTTTTGGTCCCCATTGTATCCTCAGGTTTCTTTTTCTTCTTAATTAGGATCCCAAAGAATGACATATGATCATTATCATTATATCACGTATTAACATATATATATATGTGTGTATATATATATGTATATATATATATATGAATGTTAGACATCCTGCTTTTTAGATTTCTTTGATCATATTTTAAATTTTATTGTTTTTCTCATTTGTAATTTATTATTTTGTCATTATTGTACTTTATATTGTTTTGGTTTATTATTATTATTTTTTTTTGTTTTTTTAGAGACAGGGTTTCTCTGTGTAGCCTGGAGACCAGGCTGGCCTCAAACTCACAGAGATCTGCCTGCCTCTGCCTCCCGAGTGCTGGGATTAAAGGAGTGCGCCACAAACGCCCGGCTGGTTTATTATTTTTCTAATTTATTTTAAAATATTTGCTTTTACTTATGCTTATGTGTGTGTGCCTGGGTGAGTTTATGTGTGCCACTTGGGTGCAGGTGCAGAGGCCAGAGGGCATTGGATCTCCTGGAACTAGAGTAACAGATGTCAGTGAGCTGTCTGACGTGGGTGCAGGGAACTGAACCTGGGACCTCTGCAAGTACACTAAGCACTCCTAACCGCTGAGCTTTCCCTCCAGTCCTACTTTTAAAATTTCTTTTTCTTTAAAAAATTACTTATTTTATGTGAATGAATGTTTTGCCTGCATATTTGTATATGCAACCATGCGTGTGCCTTCAGATAGTTATGGGTGCTGGAAACCAAACCTGGGTCCTCTGCAAGAGCAGCAAGTGATCTTAACTGCTGAGTCATGTCTCTAGCCCCTTCCTAATCTCTCTCTCTCTTTTAGATTTTATTTATTTATTTATTTATTTATTTATTTATTTATTTATTTATTTATCATACAGCCTATACCATCTTCTGCCTGCATGCCAGCAGAGGGCACTGGGTCTCATTCAAGATAGTTGTGAGCCACCACGTGGTTGCTGGGAATTGAACTCAGGCCCTCTGGAAGAACAGTCAGTGCTCTTAACCCCTGAGCCATCTCTCCACCCCCCCTTCCTAATCTCTTAGGACAGGTCACTTGTTTCTTTTTTTTCTTTCTTCCTTAATAATGAAGGCATTTGGGTTGTGTGCTTTCCTCTCTGTAAAGCTTTGCTATGATATATCCCTTTTTGTTGATATCTGCATCATATTCTCTGCTTTCCTCTTTGAGTCAGAGGTTGTCTAGGACTTTGCTTAACTGACAAGTAGGGGCAATATTTGAATAATCTTCAATTTGATAAAATTAATGATTGAGAAATGTGGTCTATAAATCTCCTTAAGTTTATGAATTTTCAAATTAAAGTTTGTAACTAATCTTAATGTTTCATTGTCATAAACCAAAAGTCTATGTCCTGGAGCTGAGAGTTATCGAGCTTGTTAATTGAAATTCCTGGTTCTTTGATTTCTGTCTGGTAGAACTGTCACTTGGGAGGGGCGCTGTTGGTGTTCCTGCTGCATGTGTTTTAAATGACATTATCTTGTATTTTAGGATTGTTTGTGAGGCTGTAATCACTGTGCCTTCCTCAGTCCTTTCTATGTCAGCACACAGGGTCTGTTCTTACTCCACTGAGCTACAGAGCTTACTCTGTAGCTCCTGCTGGCCTGGAGCTCACTATGTAGTCCAGTCGGGCATTGAACGCATGGTGGTCCTCCTGTATCTGCCTCTTACCTACCAAGTGCTGGGATTACAGGCAAGATACCTAACCTCGATCTTGTCTGACATTATACCACTCTTCTGTTCTTTCTGTTGTTGCTATCAGTGTTTTTGGATTGCATTTACCTGGTAATTTTTTATACTTTTTCTTTTTTTATTCCTCTTTAGAATATTGTCTTTAGTTAGAGTTCCTATTGCTGCAATGAAGCACCATGACCAAAAGCAAGTTGGGGAGAAAAGGGTTTATTTGGCTTCTGCTTCCACATCATAGCCTAACATTGAAGAAAGTGGGGACAAGAACTCAAGCAGGGCAGAGGCCTGGAGGCAGGAGCTGATGCAGAGGCCATGGAGGCCATGCTTACTGGATGCTTGCTAAGCCTTCTTTCAAATAGAACCCAGGACCACTAACCCGGGAATGGAACCACTCACAATGGTCTGGGCCCTCCCCCATCAATCACTAATTGAGAAAATGCCCTACAGCCAGATCTTATGGAGGCATTTTGTCAATTGAGGTTCCCACCTTTCAGGTAACTCTACCTTGTGTCAAGTTGATATATGACTAGCCAGCACATATATCAAGTTCTTTCGTAAAATGTATTTAACTGGCTTTAGCTTTTCCCCTCAAGTCCTAGTCTTATGGTCTAATATGATTTCTTTCCTTGTTGCTTTGTATTTATTATTTGTATTATTATTTCTGTGTTGTTTGGTCCTCATCCCTATTTTGCTGCTTGGATCAAGTTGGTATTCGTCATGTTCCCTGTTCCTTTGCCTGTGTCTAGTTTTCAGTTCCATTCCACAGATGGGTTTTTTCCTTACTTGTGCTCAAAGGAATGTCTCCTGTGTTTATTTTTCTTCTTACCTTTGAGATGCCTTGTGTCAGTCACTAAAATGTTGTTTCCATTTATTCTGCCCCACTCCTAACCTAGCAGGGTGTGGCCTTTGCAGAGCTTCTGCACACTGTTGGTCCCTTGCTTAGCATCTTGCTGTGGGTTTCCTGAGGACTCCTCTACCCTGAGAGCCTTTTCTTTCCCCTCTGTCTCTTCTTCAGTTCTTCCTCACCAGATAGTTTTCTGTTTTCCGTCTGTGCTTGTTTCCCTCAGCAGGGTGTTAGGGTGCAGACTCTGAGGCCCACGGTTCTTATACTTCTCCTTGATCATCACCCGGAGATACCTGGACTGCTGTGGACAGTTCCTTCTTGGCTTTAGGGCTGTGGCTTCATCATAGTTATTGGTTACTGTTGACCTCTTCTCCTCCTCAGTGTCAGGCGCAGACTTGCCATCAGTGGGACTGTTTGTCCACGTGTTTATTTCATCTGTCTTCACCAACTGAAGAGCTTAGAAATGGAATTCTTTTTTCTCTAAAATATTTGTCTTAGTTAACTGTTACATTTCTGTGAAGAGACACTATGACCGAGGCAACTTAAAGAGAAAGCATTTAATTGGGGTCTAGCTCACCATTTCAGGGGGTGAGTCCATGACCATTGTGGTTGGCAGCATGGTGGCAGCAGGCAGGCAGGCATGGTGCTGAAGCAGTAGCTGAGATTTCACATCTGATTCACAAGATTGTAGGTGAACAGACATTCACAACATACAGAAGGACAGCATCCCACATCCCAAGATGGAGGCAGAGAGAGAAAAGACTGGGCCTGGTTTCAGAAGCCCATCCCTAGTGACACATCTCTTCCAAGGCCACATCTTCTAACCCTTCCTAAACTTATTCCACCCACTGGAAGCTAAGCATTCAAATATATGAGCCTATGGGGTCCATTCTTATTCAAACCACCTTAGATCCTTTATCTCTCTGAGTTTTCTTTTGTTTTGATTAACTTGGTGCTATCCTTAAACAGGACTATGAGATTATGTCCCATCCCCACAGAGCCCAAGGATGTTGGGCTCTGTTACTATGTTACTATGTTGGGCTTTGTACTATGTTACTTTCAATGCCAGGCACAGGGAGAGGCCAGCTAGGCCATGTTGTTTGTACTATGTTACTTTCAATGCCAGGCACAGGGAGAGGCCAGCTAGGCTGGAAGGAAGCTTGGAGCCTTCTTTTTTCTCGGAAAGATAGTCTTAGATAGTCAATGGTGGTGTGAATCTTGGTTATCCTTTGTTTTCTTCCTAGGGCTTCCTTAGAGCCTGGTGGGGATAACCCACTCATGTATCTGTGTATACATGTTGTTGAACTAGTCATGATGAGGGCCCGAGAGGACCCTGACTCACTGATGCTCCTCGTAGTTGAGTGGAGGGAGTTTTGTATGTAGTTGACTGGGCCCTGCTCTCATTCATGAATTATCCTAACTCTCCAATACCTGTAGCTTGAAGATATCAGATGTTGTTTTTCTTAAGAGACCTGCTTTTATTTCATCGTAGATAGTAAGTTCTGACATTAGCTACACCTGGGAAACACAGAAGAGTGAAACAGGGTCCTGGTCTCTATTGTTTCCCTCATAGCTTACAATGTGAATGGTGTGTTTACCACAGACCCCACTGGGGCTACTGTCGAGAGTAGAGTAGACTCGAATACGCATTGTCTGCCTGCTGGGAAATGCATCCAGGGACAAAGTGCCCTAGAGGGATGTTGAACTTGTTGCCATGCTTCCTGCCCAGGGCACCAGGCTTCCATCTATCTGTGGCTGGGACATTTTTTTTTTTTTTTTTTTTTTTTTTTTTTTTTTTTTTGTGCTGAGGATCAGAAGTGGCTTCAGATTGCACTCTGAGGCCCCTATCATGCTTTGGGTATGTGTTTAGAGTGAGAAGCTTCTGGGGTTGGGGGACAATGTGGAGGAGAGGAGTGTGGTGTGTGGCTGGGTAGTAGTAAAAAGACTCATTCCTGCGAGGCCTTCTCACAGTCTTGCTGCCCCTTTCTTGGATGGTGTGGTGGGCTGGGTGTAGATGATCTTGTCTCCCCTGAGACTTTGTTGAGCCACTCACTCACAGTGGGTTGCATGTTCTCTATATTACATGTGGCCCTGTGCATGTACATATGTTCCTGCTGTGTGCCTGTTGACTATGTGAGCATCTGATTGGATCTCCAACCAGAGTGAGCCTGGCCAGGCATGAGATGTGTGCAGAATGTGCTGAGGTTTCTGTGTGACCGTGTGAGTAGTTGATTAGGGTCTGAGGCAGTGCCTTGTCTACACGTGTTGAATGTACATGTATGACTCTTCCTCCGTGACTATGTGAGTATGTAGTAGGTATGTGGGATCTGAGGCAATACTGTGCTCTATATGCTCACTGTCCTGCCTGGTACAGATCTTAGCTTGTCTGTACAGCTGTGTCTTCCCCAGTCCCTGTGGGGAAGAATAGTGCCTTATTTACAGCCCTTCCCAGCACTGGTCTAGAGGCTTCTTTGTATGATTCAGCCCTGATTTGTGGAAGTAGCCACCCGTGTGGTGCACACATGAGGCTGAGGGTGGCTTAGTGGGCTTGTAAGGGAGCACAGCCTTCTGTGGGTCTTTGTTGGTGTGGCATCCAGAACGAGGCCTTCACTGTTAAGGCCTTGGAGGTTATCACTAGCTGATGGACTCCCTCTTGGTCCTGGCCATTGTGAAAACCTCTGTCTATGGAGAAGTTCCTCCAGAGGCTCAGGGACTTGGCTCCATTTCCCCAACTGATAATATTTTCAGTATGCCACTGAAAGCCTGGGTGTGTACACATTTGCATGTGGGAAAACATCCACTTTACATCCATTCACAGAGACCCCTGCCCCCAGGCCCAGATCTTCAGAGGTCCCTTAGCTAGAGTGCAGTGTGTGCTCTCAGAGGAACACATAGAAACAGCTGATAACTAGGCCCTCTGATAACTAGGGCCATGGCACAGACTTGAAGACAGATACAGTGGTATCTAGACACAGCTATGCCCTTTACTATAGCCACTCGTCTAGAACCTTCAGGTACCCAGGGACCGGTTTTACTTATATGTCAGCATTTATTGAAACCATCTCTGTGAACAGGGCTCATTAGCAGACATAGTGATTATGGGTGATGAGGTTATTGACATTGTTGGGAGTGGGTTGAGGACCATATTTTAGATGGAGTGTCAGAAAAGGACACTGGGGAGGTAACATGGAAGCCAAGACCCAAACCCAGGAACCACTGTGTAAAGGAGCCAATAAAGATAACTCTAAAGGGTCAGGGTGGAGAGACAATAATGTTGGAGGAGGAAGAAGGTGACCGTTTGGTTGTATTTGGAGTCAGTTTAAAGCAGGGTCAGCAAACTTTCTAGACCATGAGTATTTAGGGCTCTGGACAAGATAGTAGCTGCCACTACACATAAACACATTTAGCTGTGTTCCAGAGGAATTGATTAAGAAGCAGGTAGGCAGTAGTTGCTGATCCTAGTTGACAGGGAAAAGGCAAAGGCCAGAGACTGCAGAGCCTCAAAATGGGATTAATGGTGGGTGGGGTTTATATCTTTGAGGAAAATCTCAAACTACCTAAAGAGGTACCCATGTCAGAGGTGTCCTTTTGGAATTTGGCCAGGGTCCTGGAGACCAGAGACATTGATAGTTGATCGTCTGGTCTGGTACCCAGTATCCCTGGACTCCCTATTCTGAGAAACAAGAAAGGGCTAGAATCTATTCAGGGGCCATGGAGGTAAGCGGCTCAGTGGTGTCTTTAGAGTGCTCAAGAGCAGGCATGTACCTGAGGGGGATGTCTATAGGTGAGTGGTTTCTTGTCCTGGGAGCCCACTGTTCCATGGGCCCTCATCAAGACTTTTCTGCAGGGTCTCCCTTTGCTCGTGCCAGCCTCAAGAGTGGGAAGACGGAGAGCTCATCATACTTCCGGAGAAAGGAGAAGATGTTCCGGTTCTTCATCCGGCGTATGGTGAAGGCACAGAGCTTCTACTGGGTGGTACTGTGCGTGGTGGCCCTGAACACATTGTGTGTGGCCATGGTGCACTATAACCAGCCTCAGCGGCTTACCACTGCACTGTGTACGTACTCTAGTCCCTCTCCATGGCCCTTCCCAACCACTCTATTCTGTAGCCTGGAAACCCTGGTTCTGGATACTCTGGATGGTACTCCATCTCTACTGCACAGTCATGGGCCTGGCCTGTGTTCAAGGTCTGAAGATCCCCTCATTCCTAATTGATCTGGCTAGATGACCATCATGATTTATCATGATATAAAATGAGGGGTTCTTAGGGGGGTAGATCTCGGCATGACCAGGGGCAAGCCAGACAGGCAGACTCAGTCATCAGTGACTTAGTTCCTTGCCTCTTTACCCTGGATGCCTGGGGAAGCAGAGTTGGGTTTTTGCACTCTCCCAGGGCTCTTCTGATCACTCTGTATATACTGTGGGCTGAGTTGGGGGAGTTTCCATGTTTCCCACTGGGCCAGCTTGTTCTCTCATGTCATGAGCCCCTCACTAGTCACTGAGATCTGAGTCATGTTCAGCTGGCCCCAGCTACAGTTCAGAGAGGGCAGACAGGAGGATGCTGGAGGGTTGAGACTCCTATGCTTGTCTGGTATCAGATCTGATCCTCGGAGAATGCTCCTCATGTGACATGGGGAATAGCCTCACTCAAGTGGTAAAGACTCTACTAGCATTCTTTCTGCAGTCAGCGTGTTGCTTTCTGTTCCCTCACTCTCCTTGTTGTCTGCAGTGAGTATGGAGGAATAGGACTTAATTTATGTTCACTCTCTCCAGAACTTCTGGCTCTGTGTGCCAGAAGTTGCCCGAGTCCTTCAGGAGAGCCCTTTCTGACCTAGTGAGACTCCATCCTGGCCTCTGCTGGCTGAGTGTTCTTCCCTGATGGTGGCCCTTTTGTTACCACACTCCTACTCTGTGGACCACTAAGCCTGCTCATCCCCCAAGGGCTCCCATCTGGTGTAGGCACTGACAATCCCATAGTAGTCAGTCACAAGCATGCATGTGTATGTTGTTTTGGGAGTAGGATTCTAGGCTACAGCTTCCTAAACTTCTGTGCTGAAATCTATTACTTGCCTCATAGGGTAAAGGTGTGGAGGCAGCAGAGGCTAAAGGAATAGAGGTGGCATCCGCTGTCTCTTCCAGGGTAGGGTGAAGGTCAGGGTTAGTGTGTGTCATGCAGCAGCAGGTCCTGGCCTCCAGGGCCTGTGTCCTAGGGCTGGTGGTTTGATGTCTCAGGACTTTTCTTGAGACCGAGTTCATTGTTTCTGTTGGTTCTCCAGGCTCATGTTTTTGAGGGCTGGTGGTTTGATGTCTCAGGACTTTCCTTGAGACCGAGTTCATTGTTTCTGTTGGTTCTCCAGGCTCATGTTTTTGCCACCACTGGGATTGGGTGGGAACCGAAGAATCTGATACCTGCTCTCTCAGTTGTTCAAGTTGTACTTCTCTCATGGAAGCCAGTGGTATCTTGTCAGACTTTGAGTTGCTCCTGGGTGTTTTCTGTCTGAGCAGGTCATGTGTATATGTTGTGGGGCATTGTCTGCTTGCCTCTCTGAAGTATGAGGGCACAAGGCAAGAACTGCCCACAGATAGGCCTGCCAGGGGTTGTGGCCCTTGGCGCTTCAGTGCTTTCTCTTCCAAGCAGTTTCCTGTAATCCCTAGGTCTCTTGGCTTCATTGAAGGAAAATTGCTGAAGGACGTTGGGCTTTTACAGGATCTGAATATTTCTACCTAGTGTCTGAGGTTTTGTCTTTGATAGCTAGAATGGCCCAGTAAGGTAGGGCAGGCTTGCCAGAGGCTTGAGGGAGTATTGTACCTTACACAGACCAGCCACACTACAGATGGGCTCTGTCTATCTGGCTGCACATTCCCTAATGATCCCAAAGTACTACCAGGACCTCTGAAACCAAAGCTTGGATAATGTAGGGGAAGCTGTTGAGTCTTGCCAGCCCATGAACCCTATGAAGTCTTACCCATTAGATAGACACCATTCCCTTCTGTTCCCATGGCATTCTGGCCTCTTACTGTAAAGAACAAACAAAACCCCAAAACAAAACAAGTTTTTGAAAAAAAAAA